CCCAGGTCGGTTGGCACCTGGGGTAATAGGTGCATGCTGGCTAGAATCACTCTGCAGGAGCCACCTCTATCTTAGCGACATGTCTCCTCCACTGGCCCTCTGCCGCTGTGGTTTGGTAGTCTGCATGCACCTGTAGTCTCTCCCAGAAGTGACAACATATGTAATCTAGTCGTGACAGGGTTGATGCTGTGGAGTCATGGAGAGGCCCCAGGGATGGATTCAGGCCTTGTGCAGAAAGTGGGTGGACAGCCGTCATCTTGCAGGTCTGAGCACTGCTCGTTGCAAGGCGATGATGGTAAGTCAGAAATAGTCCAGTGGAGACCAGGATAACCCCCACTGGTCCAAAGTGGGTAAGGGGTAGGAGATCAACAGGAGTCGTCGGAAAGATCAGGAGTGAGGAGGTCGGCCGCCTCCCCTCAACTCCGTCTGTAGTAGGCCACAGCTGTGTTTCGGCTCCCCGGCAGATGTTAAGCTCGAGGAAAGCTTCCATATGTTTGTCTGGGGGCCACCAGTCGTGGTATAGCCCTGCAGTGTCCAAGATTGCTCATTGGCCGGGGTTATTGCCCTAAAATCAGTCCAACATGTAGGAGCTGAAACACCGCACAAGGCCCAGAGGAGGCAGGCTGAAAGCTAGCCGGATAGGAGGCATGTGTGGGTGTGGTGGGTGTGGTGGAGATAGGGGGGTGTGATTTAGCTAAGGAGTAGGGTGGGGTCATATAAATAGGTGACATTTTGTCTGTTGCCATCTTAAATCTAACGGCAAGGTAACTAGTCCTATTCCTCACTGTGCTAGCCTTTAGTTACTTTGCTTACCTCACGGCCAGGAGCATGGACATTGATGGCATCCTTGCTGCCCTTAGGGCTGAGGCCCTCCAGGACGGTGGCAGGCACCTGCAGGCCCAGCTGGTAAGGCTGCAGGGTGCCTCCATGGTAGCTGCTCCCCCTCCCGGCAGCCATGGAATTCCGCTGCTCGGGGAGGTGATGGCCGTCCGGTACCTCCTGTTAACGTCTCGCGCGCTCTCAGAAGGGCGGCCGCAAGATCACGGTCTTCTGCTCCGGCCCGGCCGGCGCGCCGGGCGCCTGATGTGCGCTCTACCCCCAGCGGATCTCGGGCAGAGCGCGCACAGGTTGGGCCTGCAGCCGGCCCTTCTTCTAAGTTGGTGAGTAGGCCGCAGGCCGCCGGGGTTTTCAGTCGGGGGTTGGGGGGTTCAGGGGGTCGGGGCTCAGAGCCAGGCCCGTCTTCCAGTCCACACAGCCCCCCCCTTCTCCTCCTCCCCTCTCTGTCTCCCCTGGGCTTGCCTCTGCTGCACTCCCACCACCCTCATCCACCCATCCTACCCCCCTGCATCCTCTTTCACCCCCCCTACCTTTACCTAGGGCCCATGCTGCCCCCTCTGGGGCTACTTCAGTCATGGCTGTCCCACTCTCTGGTTCCCCTGTCCCATCTACTAATCTGCCAGGGTTGCTCCCCCCTACTGTGCGTCCTTCAGCACCTGGGATGGGTGGGCAGGGTTTTTTCTCACCTGTCCTGTCTTCACAGATTCTTCCAGGTCAGCTCGCGAACCGGTTCCCTGACGCTGTGTCTGGTGCGGTGCTTCCTGCGGTCGCAGTTCCCTCGGGGCCGTCGCAGGCTGGTGCGCAAGTTGCGGTTCCGCTGCTACCCTCGAATTCGGCTCCTGCCGGTGAGTATTCTGCTTTCGCCGGATTAGATTCCGGGGGCGCTGGCGCACGCGAGTCGCAAGAGTGGGGTTCGGTGCTGCAAGCTATAAAGAATGTTCTTGTAACTCTTGAGCGGGGATCTCGCCCTGGGGCTCCTCCCCCAATAGCCGTGGATAGCCAACTTCGGGCGGGCTGGGCTAGTTCCGCAGGGTGTGATTTTGCGGGGGTTTCAGCGTCGGTACCCGACACTTCTACACAGGTCACCACCCCCCTGGCTTCGGCGCCACCGCTAGTGACATCTGAGTCCTCCGTGAGCGCTACTGGGGACGCCGCGGTTGTCTCGGGTTTAGGGGTAGCACCCGCTGCGCATGGGGCAGCGTACATGTGCTGGTCAGGCCCCCTGGGCCTCCACCTGACGCCTGATTTGAGGGCTAAAATAGAAAAAGGGGAATTTGTAGAAATGTTTTCCCTCCTCCCTTTGGAAGATCTTCCTCGGGTGGATATGGATGCTAAAGAGTCTGAAAAAGACAAAGAGAAGTTTCGGTATCGGAAGATTCCGAAAACTTTTGGTAACTGGATTAGGGCCTTTTCTATCCTGGCTAGCGTGATAGGTGAAAAGACTCCCAGTAAATGCTCTTCCCTGTTTTGCTACCAGGACATGATATGGAACGCTTGTCGGGTTTATGGCGGTATGATGAACAGTTCCGCCAACGTTTGGCGGTTCGCCCTTCCACGAGTTGGGATCAAATGGACATCGGCTTGTGGTTGGCCATCATGACCCGCCCAGCTTCGCATCAAGGGGGCCTTTCGTCCTTTCTTGGGGGGGCCGGCGCTGGGTCCTCATCTTCAGCGTCGGCCAGTCAGCGGAAGACTGGGTACTGTTGGCAATATAATGACGGCCAATGTAAGTTCGGTTCAGCCTGCCGCTTCAAGCATGAATGTTCCGGGTGCGGCGGTTCCCACCCAGCATCAAAATGCTTTAAACGTGGCAAGCCCGGCGACAAAGGAGATGCCATGGGCGCTAAGGGCGAGGACGCCAGTGGACGTCGACGCGATGCGCCCTTGGCTAAAGCGTTATAGCAATAAGAAGGCGGCTGCCTTGTTATTGGAGGGTTTTGGGCAAGGGTTTTGGATCCCTCACCGGGCCCGGCAGGTCTCCGGTTTCTGCCGGAACCTGAAATCAGTTGCCGATCACCCGGGGGTGGTCAGGGAAAAATTGGCTAAGGAAGTAGCGTTGGGTCGCATGGCGGGCCCCTTTCGGGAACCTCCACTCCCCAATTTGAGGGTTTCACCACTAGGTGTGGTGCCTAAAAGGGAACCAGGCAAGTTTAGGCTGATTCACCATTTATCGCACCCACAGGGGGGCTCGGTGAATGATGACATTGCCGCTGAATTGTGCCGCGTTTCCTACGCGTCCTTTGACGCGGCGGTGGATATGGTCAGGGCTGATGGCCCCGGGGCACTTATGGCGAAAACCGACATTGAGTCGGCTTTTCGCCTCCTACCGGTTCACCCGGAGTGCCACCACCTCCTGGGTTGTATATTCGAAGGTCATTATTACGTGGATATGTGCCTCCCTATGGGTTGTGCGATATCCTGTTTTTATTTCGAATGTTTCAGTTCCTTCATGGAATGGGTAGTTAGAGCGGAATCCGGTTACGATTCCTTGCTTCACTACCTAGACGACTTTTTATGTGTTGGCCCTACGCGCTCCCCAACATGCGCGCAACTTCTGCAAGCAGTGGTGGATGTTGCTTGCGAGTTCTGAGTGCCGCTGGCACCAGACAAAACAATTGGCCCTTCTACGTGCCTGTGCTTTCTCGGGATCGAGATTGATTCTGTTGTTGGGGAATGTCGGCTTCCATTGGATAAATTGTCTGATCTTCGGGAGGTGGTGCGAGTGGCGAGCGCTTTGCGGAAGATTACGTTGCAACGACTTCAATCCCTATTGGGCAAATTGAACTTTGCCTGTCGGATTATGCCTATGGGCAGAGCGTTCAACCGGCGCCTGGCGGCCGCTACGGCTGGGATTTTGAGGCCGTCTCACTTCGTCCGCTTGACCAAGGCGCTCAGGGAGGACTTGGCAGTATGGGCAGTCTTTTTGGATGGGTACAACGGCAGGTCCTACTGGCAGCAGCCCGAGGTGACGAACTCGGTGCTGCACCTGTTTACAGATGCCGTGGGGTCTTCGGGCTTTGGGGCTATTATGGGAAGGCAATGGTGTGCGGAGCCTTGGCCCGAATCATGGTTCACCTCTGGCCTGACCAAGAACATGGCTTTCTTGGAACTCTTCCCCATTGTGGTGGCTATCCATCTTTGGGGGCCAGAGATCAAGAACAGGCGTGTTGTGTTCCACTGTGACAACCTGGGCGTTGTCCAGGCCATTAACAGGTTAACGGCCTCCTCCCCTCCGGTGGTTCGGCTCTTGCGGCGCTTGGTTTTACAATGCCTGTCTTTTAACGTGACTTGCCGCGCTGTGCATATCCCGGGTGTGGAGAATACCACGGCTGATGCTCTTTCTCGTTTCCACTGGCAGGTGTTTCGTTTGGCCGCGCCGGAAGCAGATACGGAAGGCCTCCCCTGTCCCAGAGAGTTATGGTCCCTTGGCCTGAGCGGATAAGGGAATGGATTCGGTCTTTGGTGTCTGAGGCAACTTGGGTTCGGTACGGTAAGGCATGGGGGGACTGGGTCGCTTTAGAACAGGACCTAGGTGGGTTCGCTTCGAATTCTGCAAGGGTTCAAGGGATGTTACGGTTGCTCTGGTTCTGGGAGGCTAGCGGGTGTTCTCCGGCTACGGTCTCAGGGAAGCTATCGGGTCTTAGTTTCTGGTTCAACTTGACTAAGGTGCCTGACGTTACCAAGGACTGCATGGTTCGGCTTGCGATGCGCGGCTGGCGTAAGGGCCCACACCTGCGGGATTCTCGGAGGCCGGTTTCTGGCGCTCTGCTAGTAGGTATTGCGTCGGTCTTACCCAGGGTTTGTTTTTCCGATTTGGAGGCACGTTTGTTCCAGGTGGCTTTTACTTTCGCCTTTTTTGGCGCTCTTCGGATCGGTGAGCTTGTGAGCCCTAGCAAACGGATCCCGGGGGGCTTGTTGTTCAACGATGTGTCTGTTGTGTCGGATTCAGTGCGTTTTTTGGTGCGGAGGTCCAAAACCGACATCTTCGGCACGGGGACATGGGTTACCCTGCGCGCCATTCCTGGTTCGGCTGTCTGCCCTGTCGCATCCTTTCAGTCTTATTGTCTTGGTTGCCCGGGCGTTGGGGGCCCTCTATTAATTCATGGGGATGGTTCCTTCCTTTCTCGCTTCCAATTTCTCCGGGTCTTTCGGTTGGCACTCGACCAACTGGGTATTTCGAGTGCAGACTTTGGGGGACATTCTTTTCGGATTGGGGCCGCAACTGAAGCCTCCCGTTTAGGTTTTTCGGACCAGGCCATTCAGAGGATTGGCAGATGGGAATCGGGGAGGTTTTGGTCCTATGTACGGCCCACACGTCTGATCGGTTTCCCCCTTGTGTTTTCTCCACAGGGCCCGGCCGACGGATCTGGCTGATCGGTCATTCTTACATCTACTGGGCTCACCTGCGGGCAGGGGTACGCCCGGGTGGGACACGGCTCGGAATACCTCGGGAGCTGGCGGAGGTCCGGTGGTTCGGGTTCCGGGGCATGAGATGGGGTCAGCTATTGCCAGAGGTCGTGCAGTTATCCACTTTATTAGGAGCCCCGGATGTCTTGGTGGTGCATCTGGGGGGAAACGATCTGGGGTCGCTGCCTGCGTGGGGCCTGGGGGAACTAATCAGGCGAGATTTGGCGCGCTTGCGTGTGCTTTTTCCGCAACTTTGCTTAATATGGTCGGATATCGTTTCCAGGAATTATTGGAAGTGCGCACGCGATCAGGGTGCTATTGAGCGCTGCAGGGTGAAAATTAATAAGCAGGTTTCCAAATTTGTTCTCGGCGTCGGGGGCTTAACAGTGCGACACCGTATTTTTGAGCGCGAGGCAGCAATCTATTTTCGCCCGGACGGGGTCCATCTAACTGAGGTAGGCTTGGACTTATTTAATTTAGCGCTACAGGACGCGTTGGAGCAGGCCATGGCGTTGCTTGGGGTCGCGCCCGCTGATTTAGGCATAAATGCAGCTGGGGGCTAGTGGCGGGTATGGTCCTTGCCGAACCTATTGGGAAGAGGAGTACAGGAAAAGAAAGATGCTGGGTCGGGTCCCTCCCCTGACCTCGGAAAATGTTTGGGTATTTGGGCGTGCCCTCCGTGCCAGGAAAGGTGGCCAGGGGTTGGCATGTGGAGTTGGAAGGCCAAAGGCCAGGTATCTTGGACGAGGGGGGAGGGCCGATGCCTTGGTGGGGGGGTATACCCTAGAGGTTTGGTGGTACGGTTGGCAAGGACCAGTTTGAATCTAAGCATACTACACCTGAAGTTATTTATGGTTGGTTTATTTACATTTGTTCGTTAATTTATAAATAAAGCTGTGGCCTTTTTTTATACCACATATACGTTTCCTAGTTTGATTGGGGGGAATTGAATGGATTTTGGGGATTGGTATGGTTCACAACACACGATAACCGCTACCTACACACAAGGCCCAGAGGAGGCGGGCTGAAAGCTAGCCGGATAGGAGGCATGTGTGGGTGTGGTGGGTGTGGTGGAGATAGGGGTGTGTGATTTAGCTAAGGAGTAGGGTGGGGTCATATAAATAAGTGACATTTTGTCTGTTACCTCAGCCATCTTAAATCTAACGGCAAGGTAACTAGTCCCCTCCCTCCCTCCCCTTTCCGTTTTGTGTTGTTTGTCTGTTTGTCATTAACAAATTTTTCTTGTCACAGCCGGCGGGTATGGTCCTTGCCGAACCTATTGGGAAGAGGTGTACAGGAAAAGAAAGATGCTGGGTGGGGTCCCTCCCCTGACCTCGGAAAATGTTTGGGTATTTGGGCGTGCCCTCCGTGCCAGGAAAGGTGGCCAGGGGTTGGCATGTGGAGTTGGAAGGCCAAAGTGAAGGCCAGGTATCTTGGACGAGGGGGGAGGGCCGATGCCTTGGTGGGGGGGTGTACCCTAGAGGTTTGGTGGTACGGTTGGCAAGGACTAGTTTGAATCTAAGCATACTACACCTGAAGTTATTTATGGTTGGTTTATTTACATTTGTTCGTTAATTTATAAATAAAGCTGTGGCCTTTTTTATACCACATATACGTTTCCTAGTTTGATTGGGGGGAATTGAATGGATTTTGGGGATTGGTATGGTTCACAACACACGATAACCGCTACCTACACACATGTGCTCTGCTTGAAAGCTAGGCTCCGCCCCAACAATGAATATTTTATAGATAGATCCTGTAACTTGGGCATCTAATTGTAGACAATATTTATTATCTCTGCTTCATTTCTCTACATTCTAGTCTTCATTAATATTACATTCTGCCTGTATTCTGCAATCTTAAAGAATTCTGCTGCCTATGAAATGCAAGAGATGAATGTGGGAGTTTGTATGCACAGTCCTGGCTGTACAAGTCCACAGATGATGCCCTTTTTACGACATCGTACTGACAGGGATATAAACTAATCTGGTCTACTGTTCATAAGCAAATGTAACGTCACACTTGGCCTGATTTTCCACAGCAATATACAATTAAGAAAAATTGAACTACTGGCTGCTGATTTTCTTCTTCACTGTGGAAGCAAACTGTGCTATCCTGTAATGTCTCTCAATATAGGCCATTACTACAGCATGTGGAAGACAACAGCATGAGGTAAACAAACTGATGTCAGGGAAACTATAATTTGTCTCCTTCCCTACTGTGTCTTGTCCCTACTATCCAACTAGCAGGCAGTAATATTATGTGAGCGTTATGTCTTTATGTTATTGTCTTGTTAAAAAAACATTCAAAAATGAACTATTCAGAAGGAAATGGAACATGCTTGGTTAATTCTGCCGTTTTTTTAATTTGAATTTACTTTTTACTGATGGGAGGTAAGAGCGAGTTACTTACCATTGAGATTTTTTAGGCGGAGAGATATAATGGCAAAAATGTGCTAGTTTGAGGGAGAGTGCTGAATGAAGAGCAATCACAGTGTAAACCAACATTTTCCACCCAATAGCACTTACTGTGCCTTGAAAGTCCTTCATTAACCCCTTAAGGACCAAACTTCTGGAATAAAAGGGAATCATGACATGTCACACATGCCGTGTGTCCTTAAGGGGTTAAAGGGTTACTAAAAGCACCATGACAACTACAGGTATTTGAAATGGTCATGGTGCCTGGAGTCTGTGCACGTATGCTGTACTTGCCACTTGCCAGGTTTGTCCCCTTGCCTGTCAGAGGTGTAATTTAACATCTGGCAGCACTATTCGTTACTTTGGCGGTGTTGCAACAGCAACAAACTTTGGCATTTTAAAAAGACAAATTCAAATGATGGCAGGAGAAGCTTCATCAGTGAAGCTTCTTCTGCATCTGCTTCTGCATCTGCATCTTTCCCTTTTGTAAAAGTTTGTTGCCTTTGCACCAGTATAACCCATTGGTATGGGTTCATTATGCACTATAACTGTCTGATTTATATGCAAACAAGCCCTCTAATACATACTTACACAAACACTGCCTAATATATGCACCAATTACACACACAGACTGCTTTATGCACACACACACACACACACACACACACACACACACACACACTGTTTAATACACACATAAGCTACCTAATACATACATACATGCACACTGCCTAATACATACAAACAGACACTGCCTAAAACATGCACAAATTACACACACAGACTGCATAATACATACACACACAAGCTACCTAAAACATACATACACACTGCCTAATACATAGAAACACACGCTACCTAATACATAGACACACACAAACCTTCTAATACATACAAACAAATGCAAGCACACATTGCTTACTCTACACACAAACTGCCTAATGGATACACACAGAAGGAAGGCCATATCATACGGTGAAGTACTCCTCTGCTTGATGTCCTCCAGGCACAGGGCTGGGGGCGGCAGCTCCTGGATGCTGTGCCCTTGCGCTGTCCTGCCTTTCAGAAGTCTGACAGCACACCTCTTACTGTCTTATTGCACCCCTGCAGGCATGTTCTCATGGGGGAGGTGCTCCAGACAGGCAGAATAGCTGCTGAGAGTGTCCTATCTTCCTAACAAAAACAGAACGGCGGTGCAAGGAATAATCTAGTTGGGCACTTCCCTGTGCTGTGAATACGCCTATGAGGCCAGGTTGGCTAATGTCTGGGCAATTGTTTTGCACAGTATACCATTAATTGGATAAAGTGGTCAACTGATGCATTCAGCCAATGAATAGTGTACGGATTGGATTCTGGGGAACCAAGCCAGGGATTTCATGGCATTATAACCACTGAAACGGACTGCCGTAGTTATGATACTTGGAGTAACCCGTCAATCATCTTCTTATTTAATTTGAGTGTGATACAGGTAGTTCTGTCTTTTTTGATCAGTATGTCATATTTAAATTCCAGTCCAAAGATTTGCACTGTAAATGAGAACTCATTAGGACAAACATGTCAAACTCAAAGGCTAACTCAGGCCAAATAAAAAAGGTTTAAGTTTATGTGGGTCGCAAGAAAAAAAAAAAAAGACTTTGACTTAGACCAACACAAACGGATATTCTATCATTCTCATGCAAACAATATGTAATCCTGGGTACATATATATAATTCACTCAAAAGTTTCACCTCGAGTTACTTACTAGCTCAGTAGTAATGCCACTGTATGCCACTCGCTTTCTCAGTCCCTCTGCAAACTGCAGTCTCAGCCAGGTAGGTAGCCACACTGTGCGCTCCGCTCGCTCCCTAGTCCCTCTGTAATCTCCAGGCAAAGTAATGTGTCACTGCACACTCCACTCAGTTTGCTTCGACCCCCTTCCATCCATGTCTCTTCTTCTCCCCCTCCATCCATGTCTCCCTCCCTTCCATATCTCTCCCCCACATTTCTCCCTCCCTTCCATATCTCTCCCCGACATCTCTCTCCCTTCCATATCTCACCCCTTCCATATCTCTCCCCCACATTTCTCCCTCCCTTCCATATCTCTTCCTCCCTTCTACATCTCACCCTCCCTTCCATATCTCTCCCCCCTCCTCATCTCTCCCCCACATCTCTCCCCCTTTCATATCTCTCCATCCCTTCCATATCTCCCCCTTCCTTCCATATCTCTCCCCCTTCCATATCTCTCCCCCTTTCCATATCTCTCCCTCCCTTCCATATCTCTTGCATTCATACCTACCTCCTCCACCTCCTCTGGCAGGCAGCTGCTTCTCTCACAGAGCCCTATTGATAGATGACCCCAAACCCTGCTGTTTCTCACCTGACATAGCAGGAGAGGGGGGCCTCTCAGTAAACAGCGCCATGCGGTGTCAGACTGAGCACTGGGTAGTCACATCACACCCGGTGCTCCTACGCAGAGCGGGAGGGGGTGGCGCTCCACCTTCAAGTGCACTGTGCGTGTGGTTCCCTTATGGAGCCAGACGCTTCCTGTGGGCAGAGGAAACGCAGGCAGAGGCGGGCCCAAAAATTACTTGTCAGTCTGACAAGTGATTTTTGCGCCTCCCTGATTGACTGGGTCACAAGGAAATTCATTGTGGTCCACATGTGGCCCTCGGGCCACGAGT